GGCAAATTCAGGATTGTTTAAAATATTGCCTTATAAAATTAAGAACTTAAAACGTGGATTAGTAGCTAAGATTTTATGCTCTACTAATTGGTATAACATAAACAAAAAGTAGATTAATAAATTTTTGAATGTAAGTCACTAAAACCTCGTGAAGTGTGCAGTAAAAGATGCCTGTGGCGATAGGGTTAAATATGTAAAATGAATTTTAAAAAGCTTGTGAACTTTAAAATAATTTTCTGAATGATGACAGAAACCAGAGTTACAGTGCATTTTCAAAGGTAGAGATAATACAAAAAGTGTGGTTGAGAAATAAAATCATCTCTCATTTTATTCACAAAACATCAAATTCAATAAGCTATTTAGTTTCAAGAGATAATTTTTCACATCACAAAAAATTCTTAGAGGGCACATCAGTAACATTACTATTTATATAGTACAAAATTACAGTAGAAATGAATATACTTAATGCATTTTTAAATCTTTTTATGATATAAATACACTGGAATTATGTTTAGAAATACCTTTGATTCTCAATGTAGTAATTTAACTTGTCTAAGTTTAATGTTTGGTGTCTTTAGCCTCCCAGTAGTTAAGATGTTAACCATCTTATTGCACTACTTAAAAACTACAGTTTGACCAAACTCAATTTATGCATATAGAAAACAGAGCTGAACAAATCCCATTTCCCAGGGAAAGTGGACATTTCTGGTGGAAATCTGTTTTTAACTACTCACAGGAAAGGACAAAACATGGTAAGAGCTCCAACCATTATGCTGCTTCAATAGTATATACATTCATGCCACTAACTAGTCTGCTATGTATATTTAGAATCATGTGATGTTCATGTGCACTGCAAATCTAACAGTAAACTTCTAAAGGTGTTTTTTCAAACAGAAAATCCAGGGAAATATGGTAAACAAAAAGCTATTGTTTTTGAAAACAGAAACATTAGAGTAAACTTTTAAATTTGCTAAAATCAAATTTTTTTTACTACTATTAACTATGGTCGTTGTGGTTTTGAAATACAGTGGTAGCTGGTGAGCTTTTGGATAGGTGAGGAACGTGCTATACATGGTTTCATTTTCTACCAACTGAAATCAATGTACATCTTATCTTACAACCTCTTGTCTCTGTAGAAACAATTTCTCATTTCCTCCATAGATAATCTATAGCTTGCCTTATTAATTTCTCCTGCACACATAGCAATGGGTCATTCTGGCACACTCAGTGTTTTATGTTTGAATACACTTACTGTTTTCTTATGCAGAAATTTTAAGTCATGATTAAAGCTTTAGTATTAATCAATTAATATTTTATTACACTCTCATATATTATTAAAATTAAAACATAATTACTGATTAAAAAAAACAACATTTGGTTTAAGTGTTTAGATTAATGGTATAGAAATTCTATGTGAGGCAGTTCCTCACCTAACAAAGCACCATTGTTCTGGAAGAAACTGAGACTCGTGCTGTGTACATCTAAAAGTAAATGAAATCTGAAATTACCATACAACTTATCATTGTTTGCAGCTGAAATAAAATTAAAGAAAAAAAGAGAAACAGTTAAGTCCTTCACATTTCTGAAAACAATGCTTTTCTCAGTCAAATTTACACCCACCTTGTTTCAATTTTATTGAAATTTGTACACTACTTGTTTTTCACAAATCTCACATTACTCAAACTTATTTTTAAAATAAATTAGCTTAAACTAACATTACAACATTGAGTGAGTTCAATAGGAAACTACTAATGAATTTAAAAGTCAACAATCTCTTATATCATTCAATTCCTAATATCTGTGGAAGTTCGTTGGGTCAATGCATAGTAAAAGAAGGTTCAAATTTGGAACAGATCTCCACATAATGCACTTGCAATAATAATAATAATAAAAAAAAAATCATGATCTTTTGTGTAACCCCTGTATTCCATGTGTTCTAAAAGA